GCCTTTGTGCTTGTGCTCTCCAGGCTCCCTTCAGTTGCTTCCATTTTCTCAGTCTTTTTTGTTTGTTTGTTTGTTTGTTTTTGAGAGTACATTAACCAGTTTATTACAGGGCAGCAGAGGGAGAGTGTGAGAGGGAGAAACAAAGAGAGGATAAGAGAGACACAAGAAGGTAAGAGAGAGAGTGTGTGTGTAAGAAGGAAGGGGAAGGGCCATTTTCTCAGTCTTACAGGGAATGGGAGCCACATTCTCTGCCCTGTCTGCTATTGCTCCTGTGACATGTATTTCCTAACAGGCTTGTTTCAGCCACATTCTGCCAAGGCCATTCTGTGTTGCAAGCTAGATATTAGCCATGACAACATATGAGTGTTAGCTATAAGTTCTCAAGGAAAGAAAGATGCAGGATTTATATTTCAGTTCAGTTACCCAATACCAAGTAGTTAGTCCTGAAATTATATCAAGCAACACTAAACATATTAAGCAGGTTTTATTTATGCCTTTATGGATAAATAACAACCAGATACAGAGGCCCTGGATGTGTGTGTGTGTGTGTGTGTGTGTGTGTGTGTGTGTGTGTAAAGGGGAGAAGGGGGGTGGTCTAATTATATTTTAACAAATGTGACCACCCCAAGAGCTCCCTTTAGGCAGCACAGTTGGACAGAGCTCCTGTGGAATGCCCACCTGTTGTGCAGTCCCCAGATGCTGAATCCAGATTGCCTTTTCCCTCAGCATTTGCTTCTGTGAAACTTTAAAAAGAAAATCTTATTTTATTACTTTATGCTTATGGCTGTTTTGCCTGCACATATGCATGTTACCAAAGGGCCCAGTGCATACAGTTCTCACCCGATGGGTCCAATGCACACTGTTCTCATCCATGGGGCTCAATTCTTAGTGAACTTTCTCGATGCGCACTCTGTGTATATATAATGATTTGGGGTTTTATTGTTTGTTCGTTTGTCTGTAGGGGAGTTCTTCTGAGACAGGATCTCACTCTAAAGCCCATGCTGGCCTGGAATTCAGTATGCAGCATAGGCTGGGTTTGAACTTGAAGAGGTCCTCCTGGCTCAGTCTCCAGAGTGCTGTGGTTCCAGCTGTGCATGTAACTGCTTTTGCCCCCTTTGGAGCCTTTTTAGACGTGTATCACACCCCTAAAGTTCTCTGATTGTTTTTTGTCTCTTTTACTATTTGGGCAATTTTGTTGACATATCTTCTAGTTCAGAGATTATTGCCTCAACCATATCCAGTCCAACAATGTTATCAAACATATTCTTCTCCTGTGTTTCAGCATGCATATCCAGTCCAACAATGTTATCAAACATATTCTTCTCCCATGTTACAGCATACGTGGCCCCTAGTAATTTATTGTTTCTGCATTAAATGTTTGATCTCTCTACTTACTTTATCTATGTCTTCTAATGTGGTGCTTATAAATTCCTCACATGTAAGTCACAACTGTTTTAAATGCCTGGTGATAGCACTCCAACACCCCTGGTGTATCTGTGTGATTCCAGTGCTTTCTTTTTATCTTTAAACTGTTATTTTACCTTCTAGTCTGCCTTGTCTTTTTTATTGATAGTTTGGCAGCTACATATGAGACACCGAGGAAAAGGAACTGATGACAATAAGCCCATAGTAATTTTGTGTCTGGGAGGAAAGGGCTCTATAGCTCTGTGAGTATCTTTCTCAATAAACCTGTGCCCTGAACTATGAACTGCAAATGTGTTTTCACACTTTCCTTGTCAGTAGAACAGAACAGCATGAGTGGCCTGCAGTTGGGTATTGTCTTCCCCTCAGGTGAGCCAGTCTCAGGTTACCTAGCTTCTCCAGTAGTGGGAGGGCTTTAGAACAAAATGCTCTTTTATTGGTCATCTTCTCTCTTCTCTGCCAGGAGCATGCACTTTTCTCCAATATTCACTAGGACAATCAGGTCATGCTCCTAGAGATGAGACTCAAACCATGTGAGGCCCCACAAGCCTGGATCCCTGAATTTTCTGTTGCAGCTTTGGCTACACTGAGGCTGCAGAATTGCTACATGTGATGCAGGTGGCCCCACTGTGACACTAGTCCACAGAGGTTGGTGTCATGGGTTTCTGCACCAGCAAGCTGGTTTTGTTTTTGTTTGGATTTGTTGTTTTTGTTTTTTCTTCTGCATTCGCTTCTTGATCTCTCCAGCTCCAGGGCAGGGTAGTGCTTTCTCCTGTGACTCCATCCCATTGGTCTTTCTGTTTGATGAGCTGTAGACAGGTCATCTCTGCAGATACCCAGATACATTCCCCAGTAAATCTTATGGGAGTTTTTGAGAAGATTCCCCATGTAACCAGGGCAGGCCATCCCTGCCTCCACCACCCACACCCAGGGTTGGAGATGAGTCCTGTGATGGCTACAGCCAAAACATTTGAGTACTTGAGTCCATCCAGGGTGTGTGGAAACTAGACATCTGTGACTATTCATAGAAAAGTGTTTTAAAATTGTGTTGTTTGCACTGCCAGAGATGCTAGTAAACAAGGAGGACCCTAAGAGAGACATACATGGTCCCCTGGAGAAGGGGAAAGGGTAAAGATCCCCTGAGCAAATTGAAAGCATGGGAAGAAGGGGGGAGGGAGCTACTAGAATCAGAAGGGAAGAAGAGGAAGGATGCAGAGGTCATGAGGGAGCAGAAAGGTTGAGTAAGGGGAAGAATAGAAGAGAGGATATGTAATAGGTAGGGTTTTAGTTGGGGGGGGTGTTGGGGGAGAACAGGAGGGAAAAGGGAACTGGGATTGTCATGTAAAACAATCTTGTTTCTAATTCAAATAAAAAAAATGTGTTGTTTGATGTTGTAACACAATCATACATGTATACTGTAATTGTTCTCTCCCTCCCACCCCTCAACTCTCAGTTTCCATCCCTCCCGCTTCTTGTCTCAGGCTCATGACTTTGGGTTTGGTTTCATGATCCCTCAGGGCCATTTGAAACACATTTCAAAACAGCTTTAGTGTTTAGTATCTATTATGTGCAGCCTCTGTGGTGTGAGGCATTTCCAGCGAAATTCACTGAAGAACCTCATCCAGAGTGGCTAAAATCATCTC